CATGAGCCCTTTTCAAAGAGGTTATATAGACATTTAAACAAATATATTTACCATCAAAGATGATATTCTCTTATGTTGACATAGAAGATTGCTATGTGACGATTACAGTCATGGTAAACAGACACAGGCCATAAATTCATGATGTGGTTCTATGACATCATACCAAGCAAGAGAATGAAATATTAACAACAGAAACAATATGTCTAGATGCAATGTAATGCATTGTGACTATTTTGAAATGTAATTTTGTTGAGTGTGGGTTGCTTTGTTTTAATGTAGATGGCCTCCAATATCTGAAGGTTCTTTTTACTGTGTATATGTGTGAGTATTGTTGTGTTATCAACTAATATCTGTCTAATATTATGTATATGGCTATGTCTTTCTAAGAAATGTTGCTTAATAGAACTAAGATCAGAAAGGTGATGGTAAGTCTATGGGACAGTGTGATTTGATTGTAGTAAACCAATATATGTAGTTGTTTTATTATTAGTAGAAGGTGGCTCATGTAAGCCAAAAGTTTGGATCAAGGAACAGCATAATAAAAAAATATCCAAATGTTGGACAATTTTTGTCTTTATTCTCTCCCAAAATTAAAGCAACTACATGGAATTTAGAATGGCTTATGATCAAACATAATAGATATTCATTGTCTGGTATATTTAACAATACATGATTGAATAATGATCTTCTGCCCCAATACACTATATATATATATATATATATATATATATATATATATATATATATATATATATAAATATGTGTTTGGTAAAAACAGAGCAAATATATATATATATATGGATTTTACCCAGCATGAATTGTCTTGAAACTTTAAAGGTTGAAGTAAAAAAATCAAATTGAAATATATTCAGATTTTTATGAAAAGATCACTGATTATTTCTTACTCATCATAATTTATCTTCAGACATTTCTTTGTGTTAATTAAAGAAAAATTCCTTCCTATTCAAAGTTAGTTCAGTCAGAAACTGTAAAATCTAAATGCATGCAAAAAATAAATATTTTTCTACATCAACATTGAAGCAAGGTTTCATAAAAGATATCAAATACACTGCATTATTAGTTTAGAATAATTTAATTAGACATATTTTAATTTGTGCTTATACATATCCAGAGTTTTCAATATTTCTCTGTAGGGAAATAAATTGAAGCTCTAGTAATTTGCGTTGTCCATTATAGTATAATAATAATGAATTGCAAATTTTAAATTTTTTATTTGTTGTTGGAATCTATAAGGATTTGTGTTAGTAATAAACGCCCCCAGGACGAAAAAAATCTCTAACGAAAATTTTTTTCTCATTAACCTAAATCGTGTCTATGCGTAAGGGAGATAACTGTATTCAACTACTATGGGTTATTTCCCTGGACAAATAGATAAATAGCCTAAAATAAATGTTATTTTTCTTGGGAACATGATACAAACAATTCACTACTGTTAGTGTTGATATGACAATCTTATTCTTTAATTCATTTTTATCACACTTTATACTAACATTGAAAACGTATTGATTTAATGATATTTCAAGGCATTGGACAATATGTGATAAAATGATTTTGTGATTCTCAATAATTGCATTTGCTCATATATTTGTCTAATTGTTAAACTTATTTTTAATTAATTTTATCTTTAACCCTTAATAACTAATTTTGCAGTATAATGCTTGGATGATTAAATATTTCTTTAGAAATTATAATTAAAACTAAATCTATCAACATGAAAATATTTCATTTAAGCTGATGAATATATGACATGTTTGTTAACTATTGTGATTAATATGTGTGCTTGTAGAATGTATAATATTATCCAAAACAAAAGTGAAGATGATGAGACAAAGTGGCAAATTTTATTAAAAACATATTTTGCTGGAGAGGTATATTCACTTTTTGGTTTCTTCAGTTTAAAAAGAAAGAAAGACAAAACTGTGTGTAAGGAAAATGTTTTGGTATCTCTGATGATAAGTGGGTATCATAAAACAAATTAATTATCCTAAATTATCAATATTCCATTTAACTAAATGGCCAGTTTAATTTAAAAAAATATAGTCATATATAAATTAACTCACTTATTGTTATGACAGGCATTGCTATTGGAAACCATAAAACATGCCAGTGTTTACAATGTATCATGTCAAATTGGCCACATGGGCCCCTCAACAAGGTAAACCATTTTAAATATTTGTATTTCTTTTACTGAAAGATAATTTGTATATTAATAGATGGACATTCTACAATGATCATACACAACTCAGCTATGAAGAACAAGCTGTTCTTTCTACCATGTGTTCTGGGGTTTTATTCTTAAATATTTATTTCTTGCATACTTACTTCTTCAAAATTGTTATTAAATCATTCAATTCTTAATTCTAAAAAATGTTCTCTTTTGAATTATTTCTTCCTTTTTGCTATAAAAGTATATACATTACAAATAACAAAAATGACTGCTAAATCAAATACAATTCTTACATGTTTTTTAAAGAATACACATTTTTTTAAATATCATCATTTGCTGCTGAATTCTTCAAATATTTAAAGTGTACATTTAAATACCACAAATGAAATGTATTTGTAAAGGATAAAGATTCAGTTCAGAATTCTGCAGATTACAATTTATGTTTTTTGTACAGATTATTCTATCTTAAGTTTCAAAAGCTACCAAGTAAAAAAAGAACATGATGATATAAGTACTGACAACAGAACATTATACTTTGCCAATAAATGTAAATATTACTATATACAAAATAGGTTTCTTCTTTTATTTATATATAACTCATTTAATGTGACTTCTAGGTCTTTCCAAGTCATTTTTTATCTATAGAGTTGTCAGTGATATGTCACTAAGGCTGATAGAAAAGAGTGCAGACATTAAAAAAATCATCCTGCTTATTTCCTCTTATTTTCTAAACAAGAAACTTCTTGGAAATAATTTCAATTAAGTCAATAGATTTCAAGTTATATCCCTTGGTCAAACATTAGTGTAATTTTATACTTCATTAAAAATTGCTGAGAAGTCGGTAGCCTGTTTTTACTGGAAATTTCTTTATTTCCAAAGTTAGAACTTTTTATAGTACTGCAATAAGTGCAATGTTAGAAACACACCAACATATAGAAATACAGATTTTATGTTATTTTTTAAAAGAATAATGATAAGAAGATCTAATCAGTAGAGAAATATCAATTCCAGATAAATAAATTTTAAAAACTAAGTAGATGAAATATTGTGAAATATAAATGTACAGATAGACATATCATCACCACTGTTCGTTCCATTTTTGTTGTCATTATCATCATTGCAAATTAGAATAACCTGACACCCTACCACCACTCTGTGAAGAAGTTGAAAGGAGAAAAACAGACAAACACATACATGGGAGAGTGGGAAAAAGCAAAGTGCGATGGTCCATGAGTGACCCCCTTATGATAATGTTAATTCTTCTGCTACCACCTCCACCACTCTCACCCCTGATACTGTTCCCATACCTGCTGCTGCTCTTAAAATGTCACTGTTGAAGAGTTGCAACTAATCAGTCAAGTTTGATAGATTTTCTTCATCCACTAAACTCTCTCAAGATCACATCTCAAAACACCCGGCTTTTCCTCATCAACGTTTTGCCATGAATTTCTTGCCACTCATAAGGCCACCACTTGTTTCTATCACAACTGCCCTTCTCTCTCTCTCTCTCTCTCTCTCTTTTTTGTAGTGCTTGCACACCCTAAAACAATGGAGAAATAAAAATCAACAAAACACTTGTCGAGAAATCATTCGGCTCATTCATAGATGAAGAAACCAAAACTGCTGCCCTAATCTCCAAATGGATCCTTTCTGGAATGGAGTATTTTATAAAAAAAAAATCCAGCAAAAACTGAATAGACAGCCTCAGTTCACCCCTGAATGTGCTACAACCATAGCTCACCTGACCACTACTACAATACCTATTGAAAGGAGCGGCTTTACTTCTTTCAGAACCGCCTGCAATTGCTGTAAAAGAGTTCTAAAAAATGCAAAGTGCAGCTACATGCAACAAGCTGTCCAGGCCAAGGTTAAAAACAAACAGACTGGATCTCGCCAATTCTGGAAAGTTACCAACCAAGTTATGAACAGAAGCAAAGTGGCTGTACTCACTATTATAAATGGTCCCTAGGTCATATCTTCCTCAACAGACAAGGCAAAGCTTTTTGCCTCAATCTTTGCCTCAAACTTGTTAGATAACAAGGACCATCCCCTCCCAACTCCCCATATCTCACTGAACGCAATCTCTGTAATATACTTATTTCAACAAGAGAAGTCTCTTGACTTTTGATAAGCCTCAACCCAAAAAAAGCCACTTACTCAGACAAAAATTTCCAATGGCTGTCCTTATACATATCAACCCAGGTTTATCCCTAATTCTAGTGAAGTTATTTAACCACCACTTGAAGGAGAAATTTTTCCCAAGCCTGTGGAAGGAGTCAAGTATATGTCCAGATGTCCAGTCTTCAAGAATGTGAGCAATCCTCCCCCTCCTAGTATAGACCCATCAGTAACACGAGTTTAAAGGCTTTAATCATCAAGAAATTCATCAAGCACATAGATAGGAACAACCTCCTGTGCAATGATCAGCATGGATTTTGATCAGCCCAATTCACTACTGACGACTTAACTGACATTATGCACAGACTTAGTGAAGCCCTTGACAACACACATCTTGAAGACCATAGCATTAGATATCTCAAAGGCCTTCAATAAGGTGTGGCACAAAGTTTGCTACACAAGCTATCCAGTTATGGAATCACTGAAAGGGTTTTCTCAGTTATAAAATCCTCCCTAATAGGTAGATCCCTGAAGTTAGTTATTAACGGCCACTCCTCAGAGGCCCTCACAGTCAACACAGGTGTCCCCTGAGGTCACATCTCAGACCAACCCTCTTTCTGATTTATATAAATTATCAGCCTAAGAATACTCAGATCATTTGTAATCATCTATGCCAATTATATGATGATATAAGAGCACACTGCTAAAACTTTTGATGATCAGCACTAACTTCACTCTGGGGAAAGAAATGGCTGGTTACATTCAAGACATTGAAAACCAAACTAGTTACATTCCATCACTGGTGATCAGACTCTGAACTACTGTCAGTCACAATAAACGGATGTCACCTCGAGGAGGCACTGTGCCTTAAGAGAATATTGGGCCTCAAATTCACGCCCAATCTTAAATGAAATTCTTATATCCGATTATCTCTAAAAAAGCAGGCAAAATGATCTCAGGCTCCTCAGTACCTGACTCATTGTTGGGGAAGAATTATTTTGCTACTCACTTATTGGTGCGATGGTGTAGTCTTTCGATACTCTTTCGCTACTTTTATGGAAAAATGGACGAACTACATTTCCTGGTTCCGCCAGGTGTAACCTTCAAAAGGTTAGGTTCCGGCATGCCACTTACATAGTAGCAAATCAGCCACATTACCCCCCGTATTCCATCGGCGAGAAGTAAGTCCCACTCAAACAGCTTCTTCTCTGTGAACCACGGCTCTGTGTAAAAGACTCCCAAGAAGATGCTACCCAGATCAATACAATTTAACCTGTTCAAGTCTAGAGTTAACCGATATCTTTCCCTCCTATACATATGTTCTAGAGTAGTTTTCACAGTGGAGGGTTGTATTTCACTAAGTCGGTCCTTAAAAGGGTCGACGTACAAAACGTTAGGAACTTGAAAATAATAGTTAATGACGCAGCAATCTAGTTTTGGGGTTGATACTTTAATGTCCGACATCGACTGTCTCACTCAACTCCACTGAGCCCACTGGCGACTGCTACTACTACTAGTTATTATCTGTGGGAGAGTCTATTTACAATAGAATAGGTATGTTCCGGTATAACAACATATAAACTGGTCAGTGCAGGTAACTCTCTATCTCGAGTGGCTCCGGGACTTGAAAAAAGGTCCAACGTTACTGTAAAAAAAAATAATAATCTCATAAGACTATAAATTACAAGTAAAAAAAATCTTTCTCGATGATATGTGTATATTTTCAAAAAAGTTGTTGTCAGTGAAAGCTATGTTTAACCGACTGCTTTGCAACACTGAGAAAAAATTAAACGAGAAAGAATCTCTATTTTCAAAGGGCATTAAATGAACATATTGATTCCAGACATAATTAACGATTGTAATTATGTCTTCCCAAAAGTTTGATCTTCAATGGATATTCATTAATCCAGAACCTGCCAGTGAATTTTATTTGTTGATATCTTTGTTCCATTCTCAGTAACAGTCGGTTTAATCTCTGATGATAAAAAGACGGAACAAAAGCAGTCAACATAATACGTAAATCTCGTTAAAAATGTTGAATAGAAGAGATGACATACTGTTATTAAAAAAAATTAATATAACGGCAGCCATTTTTTTTTTTTCTGGGCGCGGAGGAAAGAAAACTCTGCAATCCGATTTCAAATAACTATATGATTGACTACAAAGAAAAGGATATTCAGTAAATTTACAGTAAGATAAAGACAAGGCTGTGTGTTCTTTTGTGTGTTTGTGTGTGAGAGAGAGAAAGAAAAAAGGGCTGGAGAAAGAGGTGAGAGGGTTCATTCTTAGTGAGAAGAAGCTGGATACGAAGAGGGAGATGAGGGTCTGTGTGCTTGTGTGTGTGTGTGTGTGTGTGTGTGTGTGTGTGTGAAAACGAGAGAGATGATTAGAGATCAGGAAGAGAGAGAATAACAACTTAGAAGAAAAAAAACAAAAATAAAAATGAATGCCCGAAGAATATTTTTTAAAATGATGAATGGACATAATTTCAAATTTTCTTCTCGCTTTAAAGATGGTGGTTGTCGTCAAAGTGATGACCACAAATATATGAGAATTCAGACAAATTGCCAGGATAACTATTGAATAAAATATATATATATATATATATATATATATATATATATATATATATATATTATATAATAAAGCAAAATAAATATAAATAATAGCTAAAAAATCAATTCTCATTTTCAATGATTTTCCAACAATGATTGAAAAAATCCTGGATAATATTCACTTTTTTTAAAATTTTTCTTATTTTCTAGCAGGATTTTCATGGACCAATTCAGTTTTTTTCTACCTACATTGTAAGATTTGCAAAACAGCAGCTCGGATTGAGAAATCGGAGTCAGCCTAATCAATTCAAATTCGAATGATTTACATTCAATTAAAGAAAACAACCTTGGGAAAGGTATGAATTCTAAAAAGGCCCAGCTATGGGTAAAAAAACAAATTCTATAGCCTTGGATGGCAACTAGATGGTCTACCGCAAAAAGAAAAATGGCAACCAACTGTGGAAAATATCTGAAGAAAAGTCACAATATCCAAAGATACATAAATCGCCTAAGCGTATCACGCATGGCACATAACTGACTGTTAGATAACATAGATAGATAGATAGATAGATAGATAGAAAGAAAAAGAAAGAGATAGTTAGAAGAGAGAAATTTGGTGAGAAAGGAGAGATTAGAATTCTATATGAACGAATAGTTTTTAGACAAAAGGTATACAACTACACAAAATTAAATAAAAAGTTTATTTAATCTTCTTGCCCGGCTGGGATAAAATTACTACCTAATTTTATCGGAAAATAATTCATTTTCTCACAATCTGAAAGAAATAAAAAATCTTCAAACAAAAATAATTTTACCGGATTACAAAAAATTACGAGCCGCTGAAGTAGAAAAACTGAAAGAGTTCGTTGTATTATCAGTTAGAGTCAAATTTCCGACCAGTTTATCAGGATATGTGAAAAAAGTTAACGGTTAACCAAATAAACTTGAAGATAATAATAGAAGTTCTTAATTTTGGAAACTGTCCGAACAGAACTTCCTCCTTATTAATTTAATACGAAGGGCATAAAGAACATTTGTGTTTACGACAAGTGTTTATATCATGGACGTTTGGTATATTTAAGAAATCAGGGAGATAAATTAAAATTTACTTAAATTAATTTCAAACAAACCTCCGCATTCTGGATTTATCCATACCAAAGACAATGGCGATAGAGCTAAGGTAAAACAGAAGTACAGGAAGAGATTGGATTGATTCAGCTTGCATATATGACATGAGAAAAAGAAATATTCAAAGCAAATAAAGGCAGAACCAAAGTTACGAAACTGTGTCCAGATCTGTTCCATCAGACATGGCGTCATTGATACTACTTTTCAGAGTTTAAAACACATGGGGAAATAAAGAACAATATTCACCATTTTTTTACGGTATGGATTCGGAAAAGGTTAATTCTGCTAAAAGAGTGTAAACAAAAGTGAAAACTTGTACAGGTTATTGTTGTTTAAAAAAAAAAAAAGATGTCTATTAAAGGCTTGTCCTGACAAATCTCGTTTTAGAGGATGGACGACTTCAATTAAAAAATTTTGAATTGAAAGGACGTCAAAGCACAAAAATTTGATACATTAAAAAATTGAATCTATCATATTCAACTGTTCACGAACATCTTTGAGCCAATTAAGATAATTTCAAAAAGGTTATTTAGGTTATTATCATTTTTCGCTTGATAACCGTATAAAATGGTTCACAATCTGCAGCCCTTTGATTAGAAATGCAAACTTTCATTTTAGAATCGTTTACATCTCATAGTTAAAAAATGAAAAATGTGTTTTGCCTATCAACATTTCCCACGGAGAAAAAAAAGTGGTTGTCAGAAACGAAAACCACGGCCTACACCAAAAACTAAATTTCATTCTAAGAAGTCCTTGTTTTGTTTCTGAACTGGGATATGAAAAAAATGTCGTTCATTAAAATCTACTGTATCAGGAAAATCCATATCAGTAGAATTTTAGAAATTTTTGCTCGTTCAACGTCATCAGATAAACGTTAACTCTAAGTGAAAACTCTCTTTGGTGTCGCGTCAAACAAATTCATTATTAAATTGTAGAAAAATCCGTAGATTTTCTTGGATGTTTTGCAGAAACAAGATAAAAAAATAAAATAAATCATTTTTTTTTTTCATGTTTAGTTTCTTTTAAAAACAGAATAACACAACAGAAAAAGCGTCATACTATAATAAACGATTTTTTGTGTCTTTTTTATTCTTATAAGTTTTTGAATTTTTTCTGGACCCATGAATACTCAGTAAAGTGTTTAATCACTTTCAGGCTGATTTCTTATATATTTTTTTGGTGAAATATTAATCAGTCAAATAAGTCCATGCGTGATTCATTATTGGTGATAAAAAACTTTCGATACATGACTTTTTGAAGAGGCATATTTTTTCCCGCAAGGCCGTTTCTTTCTGCAGTTGGCCATCCAATTCTAGGATTCCATCTATAGAACCTGGTCATGGTCACTGATTTACCCATAGCTGGAAGGGGAGAAGAAGAGATTCATAAATTTTTTTTCAAAATAATGTAATGGATTCGAAATGGAATTTTAACTCGGCTCTCCGATTTCTCAATCAAAGCAGCTATCCATTTAATTTTATTTCCCTTTTTATCATGAATAAAGATTTTATTTTAATCTACTGTAACAGGAAATATTTATATGCAGGTGGTTATTTATAACTAAATGTTAAACACCTGCTTTCTAAACAGAAAAGGTGCTTTTCTCCAACATGAAAATGCACTTAAAACAAACGCAATAATAAATGAATAAAGATGGTAGGTTTTACACATCCTGTATTCATCTGATTTAGTGCCCACAGATATTCAATTTTTCTTTCGTTCAGTAAACAGCAAGCAGAAAAACATTCAGCAGCAAAGAAATCAATAACTGACATTCTAACTTTTTTTTCTTGTTTCTTTAAGATTTTCACGTTTTGGGAAAGTTGTCTTTTGCCTTCTCACTGGACTGCATTCGTTGAAAATGAAGGCGATTACATAGTTATTTATGCATTTATTTTGCCATATTCCCGTGTCTTTTGCGTCCTTTTACTAATCTTTTTCGTCCGAGAGATATTTTCATTCACTGTTATATTTTAACACGTTTGTTTTTAACATGAAAAGATACTGAAAAAAAAATGATTTCTATAATACCAAGAGTTTATCAATGAATCAGAGGATACCATTGTTCCTCAAAAATATAAAGGAACGGATTAATTAAACGGTTTCATTGGCCTTTCTTTTCTCTTTTTTCAATTCTTTATTCCTTTTATTCTATCTCAATAAATTGTTTCAAGACTTTTGTTTCGTTGCATCACACTTTTTGACTTCATGTAGCTAGACCCCTTCAAAGTATCTACCAAACTAAAATAGTCTACAATTGAGGACTTCAATTTTTGATATACAATATATATATTTTGTGTGTGTTGTGTGTGTGTTTGACGTGAGCCAGTTCGTTTACAGTAGTCTAACAGAAATGGACGAATTCATAAACTTAAATAATCTACGATTAAGGATTTCAACAGTTATTTGATTAATAAGTTGATACTGTGGCGACAGTGTTACCAATATTTTACTTTGGCTAGGAAAGGTGGGATTAAGGACAATGCGTGGACGCAATGCAATTTATATTTGACGTAAATAGCACATAGTATAAAATACAAAACAGAATGTAATGATTTCAAAAACATAACAATTGAATTTATTAGTGTTTGGTGTACAAGGATAAGAGCTGAAAAGTGTGATAGAGTTATGTCTCTTAGATTTGGAAATATTTGTACCTGAGCTCATAAAGTGAAAGTAATTATTAAACTGTAGTTTAGAAGAATAAAGTTTCTTTAGCATTTTGGAATGTTTAGCATGCTTGGAATTGAATATTGTAAAGTTGGTAAAAGTTCAGAAGAGATTTCAGAGTTCGTACTTGCGTGAATGTTGGTAATGGTCTTTAACGTCTGACTGCATTAGTTAAGACGGGAGTTCTTGAAGATTACATCTTGGCAGCAAGGAAAAGACGCGAATGAAAAAAAAAAAAAGAGAGAGAGTTTACACGTGTTTGTTTTTTATAATTTTGTTGTACCACGTGGGAGGTTCAAATCGAAAACGGGAAAAAAAGATTTGTCGCGTTCCTCGCGTGTTTTGATTGGTCGGAACTGACCAATCAGTGAGCTAGATTGAAGGTGATTATTATTTTGATTATTTTTACACTTAATTTGTGTAATTCTTTCATTTTTTATTTATTTATTTTTTTTTGTGTTTATAATAAATTTATCGTCTGTTTTTAAACTCGGCTCGTGTCGTCTGTGTGCCCTTATAAATTAAAAATGTTACCTCAAACGTTTGAACTATTTTTTCGTATTTTTTACCAAATAAAAATTCCTTTAATTAATATCTTCAAAGTTTACACTAAATATTGAAGGTAAATGCATAACTCAACTTTAAAAACAATTAACACCTAATTAACACAGCGTATTGCCTTACTTTTTAAAATAAGTTTCTTAATTTTTATTGTCAAAATGAGAGTTAGGATTTACTGATGTCAGCATATTTTAAATTTAGTGAGCAAATTATTTTCTCAGTGAAAGATTCATTTTTAATAGATTTCTCCGATTTCTGAAATTAATGAATGAAATAACATTTAGAGAATTTATAAGTATTAACTCTTACGACATTGTGGTGGAGATACGTGCTAATTAACTATTTTGTGGAGTCATAAATGTTAGAAAAGTGAAGGTGAAGGTTGCGTAGGTGAATTAACTAGAATTCCGCATATATTTTAAACTTCTTCGTTCCACAACATTGATAAAACACAAATAGGATACAAACAACAAATTTTAGATAACAACAACAAGAATATTCTATGTAACATAAAATACACAATAAATAGGTGTTGGTTGAATTTTAGTGAATGAGAGATTTGGTTGGTGGATTTTAAATTTGCTTTTTAAATTCTTATAATGTTCAGTGTCACGTGAGATTGAGTTCACGGAAATTAATATTTTGTCTCATATAATATGCGAAATTTCGATAGAATTTGTTATTAGATAAACTTGGTTAAATTGAATTTTAAACAGTTTGTAAAATAGTTTCTGAAATTAAATTCGTAATGTAAGAGTTTATTAACAATAGTTGTCTGCCTTTGACTATATGTTTGTATGTGTCAAAGATTGCATAAAAATATCTTTCAAGGATTCTGGAAGGTAGCTTGTTCTTCAGTCAAGAATTAAATTTGATGAACAATACATTCAGGTGTAAGAATGTTCTGTTGATTCAGTTGAAAATCAAAATTGTGATTGAGAAGTTTTCAGTAAGTAATAAATGAATCCAGAAGAAGTTGGTGAGTGAGTTGAATATTTTAACATGAATTACAATGAAGTTGTTTTCGTGTTGAAGAAATTGAAATTCTAACTTTGCACTTCAATGATGCAAGCGTCGTGGACTAGTTTGTCAATTGCTAGTCGTGCAAAAATGCTCACTGACTAGGTTTGCTCGTGCATTGAATTTATTTGTTTTCTAGTCACGTGATAGGCACACGGACACATTTAGAAATTTTGGCGGTCAACTCAGTTTAAACACTACTGCGTGGGCGTTGTTGCCATTCTTCATATATATTGATCAATCGGCAATAGTTCTTACAA